GTATTATTTTCATATTATATTGTAAGATTATATATTTTTATGTTTATATTTTTTAATTGACATCCTTGTCAAAATGCCAATAAACTGTATTCAGATTGAATGATTTAACTTAATCTGTCTATAGGATATGATCAATAATGAAAATGTTTGAGATGTGTATCTAATTACAAGTGTCATGATCTACCGCTTGTTTTTTTTGTTTTTGTTTTTTCCTGCATTTGCAGCTTCGTCTGTTTATTTGCAGTGCTGATAAACAAAGGTGAGCACAAAACAAACTACATTTGACAGGTAAATTCATGCAGCATGTATAAATGTCAGATTATGTGTTTACAACTACAGTTTGTGTGATTTCAGTGTCTCTGGATGTCACAGTAGAGGGTGTTACTGGTGGTTCTGTTGTCCTGCCGTGTTCTTCAACTGAACATGATCTTAAACTTCAAGACACTGATGTGCATTGGAGACACAATGGCAGCAAGATTGTGTTTGATATAATTAAGGCTGATGAGTCACTAGAGAAACAGGACCAATGGTACAAGAACAGAGCTGAAACTTTCCCTGAAGAGTATGTGAGAGGAAACTTCTCCATCAAACTCTCTGGTCTCACTCACGCTGATGCAGGAAAATACATCTGCCTCATAACACCCTCAGATGAACAGGAGACTGTAGAGCTGATCATCAACGGTGTGTGAAACTAGCTGTAGTGCATGATGTTTTTAATCTAAAAGAAGGTCTATGAAATAAAATCTATAGTGGTAGATGTATGATTGATGTGTCAGTCTGAGAGCTGCTGTATGTAAATGATAGGGATCTGTTGTCTTCATCACCGTGCAGTAATGTTATTTTGTCTTGGACTTTTTTGTTGCAGAACCAACAACAGAAAAAGTAAACAAAACCATTGATCAAGAAATCCAAGAAGAAACCAGACCAGTCGAGAAATCATGGCTTTGGATCCTGGTTGGCACTCTGTTAACCATACTGTCTATACTTGTCATTGTAATTATCTTTAGAAAAAAGATCTCAAGCTGCCTTATGTCAGGTGAACACGGCATGGGTTCAGACACTCATGAGGTTGTGAACCCTGGCCCGTATTATAAATCAGTAACTGCTGATGATCGTGATGAAGCAGCTAAAGCAGGTGAATGACACAGATGTGCAGCTTGGCGCTCCGGCAGCAACTGCATGAGCTTTCTCCTTAAACAAGGAGTCAGAGGAGGAAGTTGGTGCTTTTATTGTTGCTGCCGCAGTGAGGATGTTACTGTATTACTGTATTTTCCTTATCTGCACACTTTAAGGCTACCTAGCAGTCTAGAGTAACTTGGTCATATATGATTTCGGGCAAATTCAAGCAGATTCTCAAACATTTTCAGCATTTTTTTTTAATTATTGTAAGCTCGCAAGGTACTCCGCTCATCATTAAGTCACTAGGGAGAGCCTATAATAATTGCTTTACAGCTGCTGGGATGGATTTTGTTGGGAAACTGAATACTGAACCATTATTTTTCTGTGTGTGTGTAATATCTGTAAATTACGGCAAGAAGGTCAGGCGATCACAATATGCAGTTGACTATGCTAAAGTACCTTGAAGCCACAAAAAATGAACCTTGAACCGAAAAAGGTTTTCAAACAAAACGACAGTACCCATAGTAAAACACAAATCTATGTTGTTTGGCTTTCTAGAAATATGCTTCATTTGCATAACATCACATTTGCTGTTCTTTGACAAGGTTCATAAATCAATGTTTATGTTGGTAACATTGCCAGTCTATGCTACGCTGATCTTCTTGTCTTTAAATAGCCTACTGTGTTAAGTCAAAACAACAGTGACACTGGTACTTACCTGTTCATGACATTTTTGTAAAAAAAATATTTGTTTTTCATTCGTTATTTATTTATTGATTTATTTGATTTTAGGAGTGTTTGATGTTTTGATGTCATTAGTGTCATTCGCACTGATAAAGGATCACCCGTAACCAAGGGCTCAATGTATAGGCCCTTTTCCCCACATTAAAAAAAACATGCTTTGGTAAATCATAATTATGAGATTAAAAAGTTGAAACTATGAGGTAAAAGGTCATTTATAGTCAAAATTGAGATACAAAAAATAGAAATTAAGCTATAAGAAGAACTGACCAAGACTTATTCCTGAAAAAAAAAACTGCACTATGACAATGTTTAATTTGTTGTCAATTTTGACTTAGTACGTCATACTTTTGACCTTTTATGTCATAATTTCGACTTTGTCATATTTGTGATGTGATAGCTTTTCATTTATTTTTTTAATGTATGGTGTAAATGTGCTTCTGTAGCTCAGTGATGCAGCTCAAACCATCAGATTCATCCGCACATAATAACGGAGCCAAAGCACAATGCACATAATTACCAAAACTTTATGTTCCTCCGCAAGTGCTATGCTGCAAATTCTTATCAAATGTTACATATTGCAGCTTTAATAACTAGTTTTATATTTTGTACTGTTTTATTACTTTTTATCACTTTTATGTAAAGTGCTTTTAAACAACAGTGTATATGAAATGTGCTATATTAATAAATTTGCCTTGCCTCTCCACTTTGGAAAGTTGCTTTTAGCTGAATTTTTACAGCTTTCTGGTGAAAAATACACTTGTGCTGTTATATTCTTGCATTATTCACTTCATTCTTATTGTATAACAGAATGAGATCTTGAAACATTAAAAAACTAGAACATTTTTAGCTGAAGTTGAAGGAAAATGAGCCTGTCAATATGTTGCTGCCTTAACAGTTCTGGACTGCAAGTGTTTGTGCATTTTAATTAGAGATATTTTGCATTGGACCATATGTTAGTGAACATATTCATACTGAAAATGTTTTATTTTGTTAAAAATCTACTTCAATATTCTCAGGTATTTACATAATTGTGTTTCATTGTATACTGATGTAAACTTTAAGACCAAATAAAATGTTTCAATGAAATGGCATCTGCCAGTGTTTTTTTTTTTGTTTTTTTTGTTACACTTTTTACTAAAAAATCATATATTACATTTATTTATTTTGCAGACATTTGAATGCAAAGCAACGTTTCTCATAAATGTCTCAGCCATTGTGTTTACTTCTTGTTCATATGACTGTCACATGGTTTTTGGTAAACCAAAAAAAAAAAAAAATCGCTGAAACAAACAATTGTTTATTGTGTATTCTCAACAATCATATTACAATGTGGATGTTATTACATGTCAAAAGAACTGATAATGACAACAGCTTTATTGATATTCTGAAAAGTTTCTGCCTGTATTTAATTTGGGGATGCCAGTATTGCCTCCCAGAGCCACTGTTTTGAGGTATACTGCCATCCACCCTCATAGATCTTTCTTTTAAGTATGTCACAGGTTTTCAATAAGATTGAGGTCAGGGGGTGATGGGGGCCTCACCATGAATTTTTTTTTTTTTTAGGCCTATAGCAACCAGGGAGTCAATAATATTCTTTGCAGCATTGGATGGTACATTGTCCTTCATGAAAATCATTGTCTTTCAGAAGGTATTTTTTTTTATTACACCATAGCAGAAAATTGTCAGTTATGAACTCTACATATCTAGCAGAGATCATTTTGACACCCTCAGAGACTCTAAAGGGACTTTTCATCTCACTTCCCAATATTCCCGCAGCACAAATCATCACCATCTGCTTCTTTGCTGACGTTGCAGTCTTGTTGGAAAAGGGTGGCCTTTCACCAACCATCCAGAACTCCATCCATCTGGACTACTGAGTGTTGCGCAGCATTCATCCGTGAATAAAACTGTTCGGAAATCAGCAGTGCTGAGCCCACTGGAAAACATTTCTCTTGGTGAGATTTGGTTGAGGGGCCTGAAATTCAGCTTTATGCA